TGCAATGGTGCCCTTATGAAACAGGATCATCGTCAGGCGAAGAGTTGGGTGGTCGGTCATCTAGTACAATCAAAGTTTACTGATGTTTCTCGCACGTACAGGCCGAAGGACATCATCCAAGATATTCGTGAGGAGTACGGTGTAAATATGAGTTACGACAAGGCCTGACGTTCGAGCGAAGAAGCACTCCGACTTATCAGAGGGGATCCAGCTTTATCGTACGGGCTACTACCCGCTTATGGGGAAGCCGTGAAAATCATGAACCCAGGTACTATATTTGAATTGGAGTTGGATGATAGCAAGTACTTCAAATATGTCTTCATGGCCATGGGTCAATCAATTAGAGGTTTTATGTGTTGCATTCGACCAGTTTTGGTTATTGACGGGGCACACCTTAAAGGGAATTACGGAGGTGTATTACTATCTGCTTCTGCTGTTGATGCGAATAACCAAATATACCCAGTTGCATTTGCAATAGTCGGGAGTGAGAGTGTCGCATCATGGGTATGGTTTATGACTCAATTGAAGAGTGTTGTCGACACCGTTCAGAACTTGGTCTTCATTTCTGATCGACATGCCAGCATTTGTAAAGCGATTGATGAAGTATTTCCTATTGCATTTCATTGCTTTTGTATACATCATCTAAAGATGAACTTGCTGGCCAAATTTAAAACGCCCGCGCTGGAGACATTATTTTTTAAGGCTGCGAAGGCATTTCACGAGTTATATTTCAATGAGAACTGGGTCCAACTGTGCGCACACCCAGGAGTTAGGGAATATCTTGAAGCTATAGGAAAGGAACGATGGGCTCGCTGCTTTCAGACGAAACTAAGATACTCACAAATGACCACTAATATTGCAGAGTCCGTTAATGCCCTTTCAGGCATGCACGTAAGTTGCCAGTCACCGCATTACTTGATCATATCAGAGGTGTGTTGCAGAGGTGGTTCTACGAACGTCAGACGCTTGCTTCTTCACGTCAGAGTACGTTGTCTGACTACGCAGAGGAAATGATTGCCGAAGCTGCGGATAATTCACGGAGACACATTGTGATGAACATCGACCAGTTTAATTTTGAGGTACGCGACGGGAACCTGAATGGGGACGTTGACTTGCAATCGCAGACGTGTACTTGTCGGGAATTCGATTATTTTAAAGTCTTGTGCTCCCATGCTATTGCTGCAGCCAATTCTCGTAGCATAAATCCGTACACACTATGCGATGAGGCGTACACAGTCAACAGTTGGATGTTGGCATTTGCAGAACCAATATTTCAAGTGGGTTCATCCACAACATGGAAGAGTTCTCCGGGGTTTGTGAATATCGATGTTCAACCACCGAAGAAGGTCGTTAGGGTTGGACGGCGACAGACGGTGAGGATTCCTTCCACAGGCGAGGTCCGTCCACCACGCAAGTGCAGTCGATGTGGTACATCGGGACACAATCGTAAAACTTGTCGCGAACCACTAAATACTGTGTAGCAATATTATGGATAATTACGTTGTAATATGTAGACATTTATGTACCTAAAAAAAAATTTATTACAAGGACTAATACATTGTATTTTGGTAGATATGAATAGGTAGNTAGACATTTATGTACCTAAAAAAAAATTTATTACAAGGACTAATACATTGTATTTTGGTAGATATGAATAGGTAGCTTCTACCGCAAGTAAGAATTCATGCATATGCACTAACAATAGGTTGTTGTTCTTTCATATATGATTACAACTTGTTTTATGTAATGTTACTGTTCATCAGTGACTACAGCTAAAAAAAAAGTATGCTAAAACAAATTATGATAAGTCATATTTAGGTCGGTGGAAAAAAAATCGATACAAAGAATAATTACAACTAAAAAAAGGGTCTGCGAGCCCACATTTGTACAGCATATTGACGATGAAATAAAGAAATGTTACTTTGAATCAAAGTGTCCATCTTTGACCCAGTTACATCATACTCGAAAAATCTAACACAAAATATGCCGCAATCTGTGAACCCGACTTGCTGAGGTACAGTACATCTTCGAACCCTCCATGGCACCGTGGGTAGGTTAGGCCGAAGTGCGAGCATCCCGCTCCAATGAAGAATCGCCGGGATTATCGTGCACATTGGCTTGAGCGCCTTCTCGAGATCCTCCAATGGGGTGATCGCTTGCAGTGAGTCTCATACGATTAAATCACCCTCCACAAGATCAATCCCGATCATAACCCAATGGTTGCCGCCAATATTCATCGGCGTGTACACGATGTCGGCCTCGCTCCATGGGGTGTCGTAGTCCGATTGTCGTCCAAGCACGTACCGGTTATTAGGTCGAACTCCCGCTTCCCAAAAGAGACCCTATTCCCGAATAGGTTAAAACTAATGAGGTCCTCTCTAGGTTCCTCCACCTCTCTAAGCAACATGTGATGGAGCAACGGACCGATAAATACGACGTTCATCCCTAAAATCGGACCAAAACATGTTCGACTAAACATGTCTACTGAGAGGGAGTTAACCTAGCCTTAAGACGAGAAGAGGTTTTCCCTACATGAGCGAGGTTTGACAGCGCGACCGGAAACCAGTCGTCTCGGTTGACCTTAAGTGTCATACTCATGTCTCCTGTAACAAAACAAAATTGGTTAAATATGTTGTCGATTCCATATCGGGCTTCTTCCAACTTAGAAACGGACCGGGTTGAAGCTTGAGATGGAATCCAGAAAGGAAATCCCAGAAGGATGGACTTTCTAGAATCCATCTCGGGCCTCATCCCGGTTCGAAATGGACCGGGATGAGTCCCAAGATG